ATTTTTAGAAAACGAGGTATTCCACTCCATTCCAGTACATCCATTCTGACAATGGAAAGCAGTTTGTGTCTGCCCTATTTGCTAATTCCCTGGACAAATATGGAACCAGACACATAACAACTTCTTTCTATTCCCCACAGAGTAATGCAGCAGAGCGAGTTAATCGATCGGTTTTACAAATCATAAGGTCATACATAACAGATAATCACAGGGATTGGGATCGACATCTCAGCGATGCAGCCTTTGCTTTACGCAGCGTCGTCCACTCTGCTATGAAACTGTTCCCCATATTTTGCTGTTTTCGGTATGCCAATGATGCAACATGGTGCATCATATGAGATATGCCGAAAACTCACCACCAGTAAGGATATTGATTACCCAATAGACATACAGGCCGATCGGGTGCAACTAATCAGAAATAATATAATGAAAGAACTAAAACTGACACAATACAAGTAGTAAGGAAGTGACTTTCAAGATCGGCCAGGTTGTGTATATCGAAGAAATTTTAAACAGAGCTCCCAGCCTGATAATTACAACGCTAAGTTAGGGCCGAAACAGATAAGATGCATAGTACTTAAATGGAAAAAGGTCGGAGTATATCATGCCAAAGACATTTTCTTGGCGTAATGTGCCGTCTAACAATTGTTTGTTTACATTACATACTGACTTCCTAAGAGTTTATTTGTCCACACGACGTATTCATATTTAGTTATTTATTTAGAATTTAATTATTTATTTATTTACCTATTTATTCATTTATTTATTTATTCATATAGTTATTTATCTTTTTGTTTAATGACTCACATGGCACCCGCCATGTGTATCCTTCATCTGTGATGTGCTGGTTAAGTATCAAAACTAACTAGTGATTGTAACTGTGATACTAAGTTATGGCATTAACCTGTGATATTTTGACAATACGTTAGAATAGGTATAAATCTGTGATAGGTGTATAGAGCTGGTAGAGTTGATTAGTTTTAGTGGCATGTATGTCTGTGGTACCGTGAGCCTATGTATATGGATAACAACTCAACCAACAATAGTTATACGTAAGACAAAGGAACCAATACCAGATACAAAGTGATACGCCCGGCTTTGGGTCGTGGGTCGAAGCCACACGCTAGGCGTAACTATAAAAACAGGATGCAGTCTGGGCGTTGAAGTTTCTTACGCACACGCTCCATGCTACGTGCAACATCGGCGGATGCGAGCCTGTGACGCCAGACTGCCAAGTTGCAAGTAATATTCTAGCAACACCCCATCAAAATATTCTAGCAACACCCCATCAAAATATTCTAGCAACACCCCATCAAAATCACACACAGTCACACCCGATAAACATTTGTGCCACAACCCAGCAACACTCAAGCAACAACCCACATCTTACCCAGCAACATTCAAGCAACAACCCACATCCTACCCAGCAACATTCAAGCAACCAGCGACATCTTACCCCAGCAACATATTATAGAAGTATTGTCCACGAATGTGTAAACGTATATGTTAATGTAGGCGTGTGTGAGTATAGAAGTATATGTAGGCACGATTGGAGTGAAAGTTGAAGATCTGAATCGATATGTATGTGTGTGCGTAAGTGTTGAGTGAAAGTGTGTCGTGAAAGGAAATTTCTAAGGGCGGCAATTGAGGCAGGCTGCGATCGCCAAATAAAAATTTACTTTGGTCAAAAGTCAGATAACGTTAGCCCCGTACAGTTGATAGTTCGCTAGAGCGTTTAAAAGAAGTGAAGTTCGTGAAAACAAACACAAAGTTTTTTTTGTACCGCTGAACCTTCCCCATTAAAACGGAGCAAAGCAGTTCTGTTTAATATAAAATTTAGCTGGTAGTTCCTGCTAGATAGAGGTAAGTTAGCATATAAAAATTTCTTTAAAATTATGATAAAAATAATTACTAAAATTAAATAAAAGTTAAATAACGTAAACGGCAATTAAATTAAAATAAAATAAATTGAAATTATATTAAAGTAAAATTTTACCAACTTAAAATAAAGCAAACTAAAATAGGACAAAATTCTCTATCAAAAAAGGAAAGAAAGTAAAACAAACCTTAATAAAATAAAATTCGACTACGTTAAAAATTTAATTACAATAATTTAAATTAAGCTAAAATAATAGTAAAACCAATCGAATTTGAAATAAAGCTTAAATAAATAATAAAAAAACACTAAATTAAATAAATTGTGTAAAATTAAATTAATATAAATTAACTAAAATTAAATTAAGTTCCTAGGAGATTAAATTGAAGAAAATATGATGAAATCAATCGTGAACGTATGTATTTGCATTGGAGAGTGCGTTTGTGCAGACAAACGTAGGCACACATGCACATACCATACATAAAGATGGGCATAGAAGGAAGGGGAAAGTAAATAATAGGTCGGAGCGGGAGTCACACACACATACTTCATCGCAACCAGAGCACCAGACATCGAGGGAATGATTTCTTCCAAGCTCTCAGTTATGACATTCTCTTAAATTTATTCGCCGTTCTAGTACGATTGAAGAGAAGGTTGATAGGAAGTGAAGCCTCGTTGAGGTTGACCTAACCTCAATTCAGCCATTCCTTCCTTGGCGTTAAACTTTTTTTTATTGTTTTAATTATAGACTTGTTTTTGGAATTGGGTTTTTTTTT